GCATCTATGAGGAGAAGCCCAAAGTAAATAAGGAGGTCTTGAGTTTACCCTGAACAGTGTCTATGGCCAGACTTAAATGTTATTATTCTTCGAATACTGTCTAGACTATGGCTAGTTTTAACATCTCTACAGAAACAGTAAAAGCCCCCAAAAGCTGCTATGGTAGTGTTTCATTTAAAAAGGGGGAACTATAAATACTTAAGGAAGCTTATCAAAAAGAAATGAGAAGGGCAACCAAAAGGAAACAGAGACTGCCAATAACAAGAATCAATAATAATCTGAAACATGGAGATTCTCTAATTACCTAACCTTTAATTAGTGAAGGTTAATTTGATTTTGAGTCTGGTCTTCAGAAAATTGAATATAGGGGTGTTGGGAAATAAAAAGGCTGGGCCCATGGCTTTTGGATTCTGATTCTCATTCTGCTGCAAATTATTTGATTATTTGATTTTTCAATGACATTTTAAAAACATACATCCTGATGTCAACACATTATGTATGTCAACAACATGATGCTGTGTAGTCATACTTAAGTGACCTGTCTAGGGTACCGGAAGTAAGAGTGCTAATATCCCTGTCTTTTAGCTCTAATTTTAATAGCCTTATTCCTTCTAAAAATAGAGTTGCAGACACAATTCTGTGGAATAAATATGAATAGAAACTTTCATAACAGCTCTGTTGGAGTAGACAAATATAAAATTCTTTGTCTGTCAAAAAAAAAGAGAACATTTCATTCTATCAGAAGGACCAAAAAAAGGGGAAAAGGTGAGGTTATTATTGAAATCATAATGGGACCTTGGGACATGAGATCAAGTTTTAAGCTTTAAAAATGATGATTTTCTTTGATCATCTCCTGATCTGAAGTTAATTATTGGACTTCCATTATTAATGGCTCACTGAGGCAGCAAACTGTAACAGCTCCAGAGTTTACATTAACATGTGAGGAATGTTTTGCGATTAAAAAAAAGTGCGTGAAAGTGGAATCCTCTTTTACATTGAACTTTATTTTGTCATTCTTCTATTGCAATACCTCTGACTCTGCAAGTAGCCGAACTGAAAAATGGGCTATTGCAGAATACAGGGCTAGGATAGATGGGTAACATTTGGCAGAATCTGATCTTTAGAAAGGATTAGGTCAAATCCATAATTTTTCTTTTTTCCTGATAATTTGTTAAAAAAAAGTTATGTAGGTGATTTTGATGCTATTCTGTTGATCCATGTTGAGCAGCAGTAAGCCTTGTAGGCTGTTTTGCAGTAATGCAGAACCCATTAATGTATCATAAAGGTAATTTTATTTACATTTGTGTGAAATAATGGCATATATAGGTCATTCTTTTCATTTACTTTTGCATATAAAGAATTCTAATATATATGTAATAGTTCTTCAGAGACCAAAAATTTGCTTGCATACTAGGAAGAAAAGGCATAGTAAGATGTGAATAGAATCAGCAACTACTCACTGTCACTGTTAGAATACCTTGTTTAATTCCAGAGCAGTTGCTTTTACAAAGAGTTAAACTTATAGAAATAAGGAAATAATTACAAATTGCTGAGAGAACAATAACTCAGAAAGTCGTACTGTAGATGAAAAAAAAATAAATACACTAAGTGCTCTACTGAAGGCATGTTATTTTATGTTACTTGCGATATGCTATTTCTAGGCCTACACACAGAACTGGTTGTATAATGAGGCAGTCTTGGGATTGGAAATTAATTGCCAGCATACATGAACCACCTCTTTTGCATGCTAAGAACTAGTAGGAAGGGATAGTGTGTTTTCAGTGGCCATGGCCAGATGGCTTAAATTCTGCCTAAGCTGCTGTCTTTAATATGTTCAAGAACTGTACCACGGCCAGTAGTCACAGATGGAGTTAAGACACATGACCCTTTAGGATCATGCACTGGCCAGAGGCAAGGGCGTATTGGCTCTGGAATGATCTCCTACTCAGTTTATCTTAGGCTGTTTTAAAAGTTTATCCCCAAAGGGAACCCCAAAAAGGTAGCTAAAGGAAGTATTGCACTGGAAGCAGTGTAACTGTGGTACTGTGAAGCATGAGCCACAGAAGAAGGAATGAGTGAATGCCTATGAAGCAGTACAATGTAAAATCTGTGCTGCTCAAATACTTGAGCTGGCTTCGTTAAAGCTACCTGTGGTATCTCTGCAGAAGACTGCAAACAGGCTCTTGGAAAGGAAGCAGAAGGCAGGGGGAAAAGACCATCAGGAAAGGGTGGTCAGAAATGTGAAAAAACCCGCATAGATGTGAGTCTATGTTCAATGATCAGGTTTGTCATACTGCAGTCTTGGATACTTTCATCCTCAGCTCCAGATGCAGCACACCCCACTGCAGGAACTGCGTATTCCACAGAAGTCTTGTGTCAGTCCAGCAATTTCACAGTGCAGACGACTTGGACAACATGGCCTACAGAACCAGATGTGAAAGGAAGCATGTACTTCCTGTGACCTCTGCTCAGTGATGTCTAGAATCACAGTGACTCATTTATACTCTGTGAACATTTGGATGTTCTAAAACAATCAATAGAGCATATTACGACATACTTTTTAGTGAGTTGCAACCCACGATCCCATCATGTCTGTTCCCTCAGCAGATTTATCCTAATTTGTAGCTTTTTCTTTTTTGTTTTAATTTTTAAATGAAGATGAATATGTAAGGATGAATTTACTGGGTAAAAACTAAAGCAGAGTGTCCTGTCTGAAGCACTGGGTGAACTTTTACAGAAGGCAAATGGGAACCAAAGTTTTAAAAAATGTCCACCCAGCAGATTTGTGCCCTGGAAT